AGCATTTAACCACTGTACCATCGGGGCACCTTGGTAGTGTATCAAGCAATATTAAGTAAAATTATAAGTAAAAATTAACACTCCTGGTTTCGGGTTTAATATAAAATCACCAACCCTAATTATTGTTATATCTCGAGTCGTCTGCGATTCATAGCAATCCTATGAAGAACAGCTATGAAGTCTGCCTATCCTGAGCCAGTCTCACTGGCTCCAACATACCTATTCTCATTACTCCAGTTACTGTGTCAATTCATCTCATCCAAGATCTTCCTCTCTTGAGCTGTCCCTCCACCATTCCAAGCATGATACCCATCCTCCAAGGACTGGTCCATCGTGGACACATGCCCAAAGTATATGAGACGGAGCTTTAAAATCCTTCCCTCCAAAGAGAAACTTGGTTTTAACCTCTCTAAGGCAGACCTATTTGTTCTCTTGGCAGTCCAAGGTATGTTCAAGACTCTTCTCCAGAAAAACGCATACACCCATTCTTCTTCTGTCATTCTTGGTCACTGTCCAGGTCTCTGATGCATAGCAAGTAACTGCAAAGACCACAGCCTGGATCAGGCAAACCATATTCTCTAGACTGACATCATTGCTCTTTAACACTTGGAGGGGTCCCTGACAGCAGGCTTCCCTAAAGCAATTCATCTTTTGATTTCCTGACTGTTGGTGCCAAAAGTGTTGATTGTGGAGCTTAGCATGCTGAAATTGTTTACAACCTCAATCTCTTCTCCATCTATCATGAAGCAGTCAATTGGTCCAGTGGTGAAAATCTTTGTCTTCTTGATGTTGAACTTCAATCCATACGAACCCCCAAAAAGAATAAAAACCCATCTAAATCAAAATTAGACTTGCTAATGACAACTTTCTACACAATAAAACTTTTGAAAGAATGATCATCCTCAACATTCTTTACAAGTTTGTTGTGTGCCATCAAGTCGACTATGACTCACAGCAATTCTAGAACCACAGATTTGAACTTTGCCCTATCCTGTGCTATTCTCCACCATCTCCAATATACTCAAGCCCTCTGTTACAGTCACTGTGTCAATCCATCTTGATGGTCATCCTTCTAGTACTATCTAAATCATCATAATTATAGTTGGTAGACGGCAGACTTTCATCCTATTGGCAATATATGACCAATTGTCCTAAGCTTATACTTGTTGTTAGGTACCACGGAGTAGACTCAAAACAACCATATGTAGAACAGATCAAAACCTTGCCCAATGTGGTACTTAACAAAAATGCATTCCGCGGCCTCCGGCTCGGGGCGAGCCGTCGCGGCCCTTTGCCCAGGGCGGGCTGACCTTGGCCCCCGGCTCGGGGCGAGCCATCACGGCCCTCTGCCCTGGGCGGGCTGCCCTCAGCCCTCAGCTCGGGGTGAGCCGTCGCGGCCCTCAGGGTGAGCTCCTCAGTCCCCAGATTGTGCCATCTGACCCCTGGGTGGGGAAGGAGAAAAAAAAAAGAATGCCTAGGGTATCCAATGTTACCTAGGCCACCTTCTGCCACCCTCCCCCCCAGTAACCTGAAAGCCAACACCCTCAACACCCTTCTATTTGTAACTCACAAGTTTGTTCTCTCTAGGTTTGCTCCCTTTCCTATAGGTAACCTTACCACTGAGTTTTACTCCAGAATTGACCCTGAACCCAGTGCCAGTGACAAAAAGGAAATACAGCTGACAGCTAAGGAAGCAAAGGAGGATGGAGCCTCTAGGTTCAACCAGCCATCCCCACTGGATCCGCCTGGGAAAACACTCTGCAGTCCAGAGGGGAGCAAATGACAGGAAAATATCTTCTAACAGAGCAAGAAGGCAAGCAGCTTTAACCCAAGACCACCAGTAAGGCGATAAAGCGTCCTCCCTTCCCCCCTTTACATCTATGCCCCTGTTCAGCATGAAGAAACCAGAGAGTCGGCATCCAATTCCCAAATCAATAAGACAGTTGGTTTAATTACCATTGGAAAATGCTTGTCATTCCTCTGTAGTATCTGGTCCCCTCTGGACCCTCATCATTTCCTTCACCTGCTCCCCCCACCGACCAAGCTGTGCAGCTCTGCAACTGCATCCTGGCCCATCCTCACCCTTCTGCCCCCAACCCTCACCTCCTTGTACCCCCAATTATGTTTTTCCCAATAAAAAAAAATTGCATTCCATTTTATCTTATCTACTAACATCACCTTTGAAAGAAAGCTGGTTTACAGTATTTTGTTTCAGACAATGGATCCCAGCAAACTCAAACTTTGTCTAAAATATATCCTGACAAGCTGATCACAAGCCCTGAGCCCAGTCTGAAATTTGTTTCTTCCCAAAAGTTTCCTCCATGGATGGCCAGGCCCTTAGGTGTTCTGAGTTCAGTTACACTGTAGAGATGAGGTCTGGTGGTGCAGAAAGTAAACAGTTGCCTAATAATCAAAAGGCTGATGGTTCAAACTTATCAGCCATCCTAAGGGAGAAAAGCGTGGCAGTCTGCTAAAGATTAACAGCCTTGGAAATCCTACAGGACAGAGTAGTTGGCCTATAGAGTCACTGAACCTGCAACCAACAGAAAACACTAAGTATCACTCATTTGCTTTACAAAAATTTCACCTAATTACCCAATATATTAATTCCCATTTATTTATATCTCATTTTTCATTCAAGGAAAAGTAATTTGAGCTATTTAATCTAAGGCTACAGAAAATTCAAGGCAGGAATGACCAACATAGCAAACAAATCATTTCTATAGTTGTGTTTTTCTTGTCTAAAAAGGACATCAATCCTTTGGATTGACGCAGTGACTACCACAACGGGCTTGAGCATGACAAAGGTTGTGAGGATGATGCAGGATGCGGCTAGGTTCAGATCTGTTCATCATAGGGTCACTATGAGTCATAGGTGACTCAACAGCGCCTAACAACAACAGAAAGGACAAATATTCGTTATGCTAAAATCATGTCTCTTGATTAAAATTTTCAGCATATTAAATATAATACATTTCTTGGTAGATACCTGTGCATTTTAAGAACATAATTTCCCAGTCTTACAAAAATTTAAACACATCTTTTAAGCTCATGAACATGAGCAGTTTTATTGGAGGGGAAAAATTCACAAAAGCCAACATTATCTTTTGTATTTGCCTATGATGTTAAATTTGTCATTCCATTTTAGAATCATTATTATTGGCATACTTCTTTCCACTATTTTTTTTTCTTCTAAAAAGTAACTTTAATTGTCCTATTTTACAAGTGTTTTACAATTGTAAGTAATTTCAAATCCTTTCTGGAAAGTTTAATATAAATCATGATTGAAAATGACTAATCCTGACTAAAGCACAAACACATGTTTGATTAATGTATTAACCGTCCTTCCTCCATATATCTCAGTCCCAGAGAAAGTACCATGGTCATGATTTTCAAGGTAAAATATTCACACAGATTATAGACTGTTAGACTCTAACAACCTGCCTTTGCACTCATCCTGTTACAGAAGAAATGTGAAACTCACTAGGTACTTTCTCCAAATATGTCCAAACAGATGAACAAGATTTAAGACTACCTTAGTGCTCATTTACTTGAAACTTTCAAGAAAAAACATTTACCGTTGATCCAAAGACTTTTGAAAATAGTTACCTAAACTCAAAATAAACAGGGAAGACAAGAGTCAAACACAGCTGAGCTCCACTCAAGCTCAAATGAGATGAGTCTCTTAACTGCAAAGCTTGTTTACTTAACGTGGGTTTCTGTAGGACTTGAGAAGATTTGCTGAGCACCATAGTAATCTCTTAAGACACTAATCAAAAGCATAGTCCTCTATTTAAAAACCCCAGAAGTGGGTTTAGGACAACAGAAGCACCTCAGCCACTGATATAAGCATGTTTCTGTTAGAAGTAAAATCACCAACATGGCAAATCCTTTTTGAGCATTTCCACAACCAAGAAATAGAAAATACTCTTTAAAGGTATATGCTATGTTTTGATTATTCCTTTGGAACTCTGAACTATAAAATTTATGGAAAATATATTGGCTGTCATAAAGCTTTTGACTACCTGATGTGCTTCTTATGAAAGAATACTGATCTGAGCCAAGTACCGTGGTGAACCAGGACCCACTGCACAGCAGTATCTCTGTTGCTCTGGCTGAGGGTTCCTTCCGAACAGTGACTAACAGGTGGACAAGTTTAACTGAGACTTTATAGTCTGGAATAAATATGATGACCAAACATTCAGTTCTCCTGGAAACAATCCAAGAAAGATGACAAGATTTAAATATAGAAACTGGCACATTTGCCAAATAAATGAAAAGCCCTTATATTACACTGAATGCAGAAGCAAATACTAACATTATATTGAAGTGCATATAATCAGATTAATAGAATACATAACCACCATTAATATTTATACATACGGTACTAAACCCCAAAAGGATGGATTTATGAAAGCATTGTTAAAAAGCACATTCCTCATTGTTGTTTTTTTAAAAAAAAATATTAAGAATAGGCTTTTCTATTGTAATAATTTAAGTTTTTCCTAATTCCTAAAATAGGTATCAGATTTCTAATGGGGGTGGGGTCTCAGCCAAATAGCCATGTTAGATATTAAGACTCATCTTAGAAAACTAAGTATACTGAATTAACTTGAATAAATTAAGAGTGCACATTCAGAGACAAACTGCAGCTTTCAGTAAAGTGACACATGAACCAAAGGCAAAGATCTGCCGAGATTAAGGCAGGTTCTCCTTTTTTCCCTTAATATACAAATAAACACATACAGAGAGTACAACATCTTTTCCCTGCAGGTTCATTTAGTGTTCACTTTGATGTTACTTAAAGTGCATTGCCAAGCTAGAGTGCAAGCTTACTGATTAAAAGAAATAAAAGGTGACACAGAAAATTCCTTTCGTTTTAAAGTCTTCCTTATACCTACTAACAGCGGTTTCTTTTTGCCTTAGCGCAGTTCGTCTGAGAGATCATTGTGACAATCGTATGACCTGAAGGCAAAGCTTGGGCGCAGGCGTGACAATTGTCAGGGTGACAGCCGCTGTAAGGAATTACTGTCTTCCTCGGCTGGAGTCAATCTGAGTGTTGGCAGTTTCCGAGGGGGAAGTTGAGGGCTCTGGCGAAGATTGTCATCCATCTGTAGAAAGTATGATAGGTACAGCTGACTAATGGCTGTGGTAACACTCCTGTAGACTGTGGCTTCCCTAGCCAAGACACCGCCCAGTGAGTGCAGTACAGAATCTTAAGTTTCTAGGACAGCAAGCGCAATCTTTCTGTATTGCAAATAAAATCATGAGAATTTGAAATGCCATACCTCAAATACCCAGTGATTCAGTATCTGGGGGGAAAAAACCAAAACCCAACGTGCTCCATCTTTGATATTGTTTCAAAACTAAAGAAATTACATAAAATAAATACTCCACTGACATCTATCATCGTGTAATAGAGTTTGAGGTCTTCTAATATAAAGTGTAAGAGAAAAACTTGTTCCTCTAAGCTTCACAGCTTAAAGCAGATTCACGGACTCTCATTTGACTCTCCCAACACAGCTGTGAGCAAGACACAGCAGGCATAATCACTCCCTATTTTACAGATGAGCAGTATGAGAATCAGAAAAGCTAAGTGATTTGTCTCAGGTTACAAATCTAGCACAGGAACTGAAATGTAGATAAACCCAGGTGCTCTTATTCTAACATCTGTTCTTTCAACTTTACCTCATTCCTTCAATGAAAATGACCTACACTCTTCTGAAAATGGCTAGTTCTTTTAAGTTGAAGGTATTAAGACCAAGAGAAGATAGAAAAAGAGGCAGAAATTAAAATATATTCTTGATATCTAATCCAGAGATCTTTCCAATGCTGAATCAGTTTGCTGCGAGTTTTTTAAAAACTAGAATATTAGTTTCTATCATCAAACCCAAGTAGGTAAGACTTTATAAAATCTAATAGTGTGTTACCCCTATGAATCAGTTTTAAGCAGAGTTTTGAACCAGTTCTTCTCAGTTCACTCACAGCAACCAGGTGAAACTCTAATAGACTCAAATTTGTCAAGTGTGAGTGTATCATCTAAATGGGAAAAAATATGAAGCCTAACTAAAAACTTAAGTCTTGTTAGAAAACAAAGGCAACATGCAAGGTGTCTAACAAGCAAATCTCTTTATCAGAATAGATGCAAACAATAGAACCCAGCTCAAAAATCGCAGGCAGCCTGGTAGCTGACTGTACCACTGTGAATGCACATCTTACTACACAGTCCTGGAAATGGTCTAGTCTCTGCCATCAGGTTCCTGAAAGGCTCATTATGCCTTTTCTTCCCTTCCAGGAATTCAACTCAGATTTTTCCATTCCAGTACACTCACATTTTACAAATTCTGGTCTGTTCTGCCTTCACTGTTCAGGCCCTGAGTGAACTGGCTTGGACCAGTTCAAAGTTCTGCTTTTAGAGAAAGAAATGGATGGTGCAGCATATTAAGAAAATGCTCAAGAGCCTCCGATTTACCCAAAGAAGAGCACATTAGCATCTTTGAGACTACCAGGATAGTTTTTATTCAGAATGAAGTATTTTTTTTTTTTAGGTCCAGGTCTTGAGTTCACTATCAACTTAAATTCATAGTAGATTTAGAAGCAGCTACCATTAAAAAAACACAAAAATCAAAATAAAATGGCATACCAAATACAATTACTCATCATACAGCCAGGCATTTTTAAAGAGTTAACATATGTGCAGAGCATTACTATTTTCCCCTAGAGTTCTCAAAATGCTCTAATAATGCACAGGAGAAATGTTTCAGGAGAGATATGTAGGACTTGTAAGAAAGAAAAGAGAGCCTAAGACTGCTGGGAAAACATTCCCACTGACCAGGTGAATCAACTGTGTCAAGATATTTTTTTTTTCTTGCAAGAATTATGATCCCTGAACATAACTTTTTTTTTTTGAGTTGTGTGTTTTCTGTCCAAATTTTGAACAGTACTGAGCAATAAATCCATTGCTGTAACATGTTGTAACTTCCTCAAGTGACATGTATGACTGGGGTAACGGGTGGTGGTGAGCTGACAGAAACAGAGCCAGGAAACTTTTACACATCAATGATGACCCACAAGAGAAGAGTATACAGTGATGACAGAACTGCTAGGTATCACTTCCACCACATGTAGGTATTCCATGGCTCCTATGTCATTAAAAAAATCAGAAACTGACAGCCTTTCTCTGAGGAGTGTCTAACATGGTTCAAGTTATCATCTCTCTATCTACATTAATACTTAATTAGGAGAAAAACTTAGGATTAAACAAAGGAGGCTTTATTTTCATTTGGCAAAACTTTAATAATTGATCCTTATAATTTTACCACTTCAAACTGTAACACATGAAATATCACAAGATAAAGAATCTCTTCAGAGAGTAACAGAACCTGACTAGTAACAAATAAATTATCTTACTTATTAGTTGAGCTCAAGATTCAGGACAGCTTTTGGGGTCATTTCTAAGGTTCAAGTATCTTCTCTACCTCATGCTCACAGAATTAACTCCCAAAGGTTCAGTGTGCTCATCTGTAAAATGAAGATGATAATGATGCCTGCACGCAGAGCGGTTGTGCAAATTAAATGTGCTAACTCGTATAAAGCTCATGGGACACAGTGTCTGTAACTCAGACCTCAAAAGTGTTAGGCAGTGTTACTGCACTACACTGCCCCATTATTTATGAAAGAATAAAGCATTCATTTGTGCAAGAAATGAACCAAGTTATTAGACACTTGGGAGGAAAAAAAAATAGTGAGTAAACTATTTGCATTTATCCAGTTAGAATCATCCTTAAGATTTCTACTGTTGGCTTTCTCCCTTGTTCTGTTTTTCAGTATCTCTTATATTCTAGGAACAGAAGTGGCACACTGGTGGAAAAATGTAGGCTACATTCAGAACACAAAAGGACAGTAACGAGAAAAAGAAAACACCATGCAAAAGGAAGTAAAAAGATATAATGGTACTAATAGGAGAACATAATTACAGGGACCTAAAAATCTCAAGAAATATCATCCGCAGAGAAAGAGAGACAGGCAAACAAGCAAGAAGCTGTTCACTTGTTTGTTTAAAGCCAGCTTTCTGAGTTTCTCAACTTAAAAGTACTAACTGCAAGATAAACACAAACCCACTACACCATTATCTAGTCTTTTCCCAAAGCAATCAGGCAATCTGGCTTCAGAGTGATGTATAATATACAACTTTAGTATTTAAACAGCTTTCTGAAATATAAACTATTAAAACAAAAATAAACTAAAAGGGTCTATTAAATAACCCCAATTACATTATTACCTGCAGAAAGGAAAATACTAAACTACTATAAAGTAATGACTGAAGTAAACTTGACCTTTTCAATCAAGTTGGACTCCTTATTTACAAGCTGTGTGAGTTTCTGAAGATTTGCATCTACTGTATCTTGTCCAGCTGGAGAGATGCCTAAGAAGCCAGGATAGAAATGAGAGAAAGACAGGAAATTTAAAAAGCCTTAAATCTGTTTAGATTGAATGAATTTTGAGTCGACCCACCCTCCCAAGTGCTGTCTCTACACCACAAAAAGAAGGGAGTGAGAGGGTGCAAGGGGAAAACCATTCTGGGTTCAGTGGCAAAGTTACAGGGATAGTAATGCTCTAAAACCAAACCCTAAACAAAAGAACTAAAATTGTACTATAAGCAAATACTGTTAGCCAAAGATTTCAGCCTGCCAAAGTCATTAGTAAAAGCACAGAACAGTCCTCATTTCCTTTTGAAATTTAGCTTGTACTTTCTCCTATCCATTTCAAACAGGTCCTTGGCTACTATATGGCTAGTTCCTAAGGCAATGACTCTAAAATAGTTACCCATCAGACATCAAAAATACTTGGAGAGACATTAAAAAAAAAAAAGAAAGAAAGAAAGAAAAAGAAACAGATTCTTGAGAGCCATCCCTATGAGATTCTAATTCAATAAGTCTGGAGTAAACTCGAGATCCTGAATCTGTCAGTCTATCAGGCTTGGTAACTACCACTTCACAGTGACAAGGTAGTTGCTGTTAGCTGTCAATGCATCAACTTTTAACTCAGGGAAGTCTTCAGGTGCCCAGAGAATTGCTCTATAGAGTTTTAAAGACTTAAATCTTTCATATGCAGATCACCAGGTCCATTTCCCAAAATATCTCTGAGGGAGTTTGAAGTGCAAACCTTTTGGCTAGTCACTTAATTTCATGACATCCAAACTACTTTCATTTCTCTTTCTCTCATTGCCAATAAGTGAGAACTAACTCATCACTGACGCTCCAGCAGGTTTCCAAGACTGTAAATCACATGGGAGATCATTCAACTTTCTCCCATAGAGCAGCTGGTGGATTCAAATCGTTAGAGAAGCTCAGCCTTTAGCTTAGCAATGTGTCTATGAACTACCCCATCAGAGCTCCCACTCTAACTACTAGCTCCTCCCTACACATCAAATACATAGTCATCTTAAAAATAAACTTGTCTACCTAAGCTAGCTCTTCTTATGGCTCATTTCTTAAAAGAAAAATGCAGCCAATCTTCCCAAGAAGACTTAATAACATAGTTATTTTGTGCATGGTCCCCCTCATCCAAAGCGGCGCATCTCAAAATGGCAAGTACTCTCAATTTACTAAACCTCTAGTCTGCTGCAATGTTTTCAAGTAGTGGAATCATGGGAGTGCACCTCACCAAAAATCAATCTGCTCCTGATTCCTGTGCATGCAGGAAAATGCTAGAAGCAGTGGGTAAGGATCATTTAAAATAATTGCCCACTTGCATTAGGACAAATACTATATTTCAGCAAAGACTCACAAATACCTATAGTGTTTTTTTAGAAGATAATGATCTACTTTAAAGGTGCAAGATTTAAAAACCAAGAAATGTATAAAACCCAGAGGAACAGATAATACATTAGTGAGCTATTTAACATACATGAGAATAAAAATGAAATTGGAAAAATAATTTTTTTTCAATGCTATGCATCAGCATTTAACCACAAACCTCATCAGAGAAACAAAATAAATTTTGATCATGTCATCTTAGGGAGCATTTACTCAATACATGAATAAACATTAGCTAAAGAGGAGATAGCTTACCTGCAAGGCTAACCCTAAAATAGCTGCTTAGGATATCATCACAAAAACGACACAGGTTGGAAAGCTGCTTCAAGTGTTCTTGTAACTGAACTTTGGGAAATCGCACTTTGTAAAGAGGTGCAAGAAAACCAAACACATAGGCATCCAAGGTAGAAGGCCTGCAAAGAAAATTAAGAATTTTAAAAAAGCATTTAAGAAAGTCATATTAAGTTTATAATAACCAACCTCTATAGAAAAGGTTTCCTATTCTAAAAATCCACTAAATCCTATTAAGTGAAAAACTCCTCTTTTAGAGGGACTAGAGAATCTTCTTGGAATAAGTGCTCACCAAATGAATGTGCACAAAACAAAACAAAAAAGTGGTTTTAAAGAAAATGTACTTACGTATCTCCAAAGAAAAACTGAGATGTTCCCAATCTCTTTGACAGAAGATTTAGGCACTCCTTGGCATCTCTGTATATCTAATACGGATGAAATTATATCTCAAAGGTAGGAAAAATGCTTTCAAACTACTTTATAGATAGGCATCTAAAGGTCATCTCTGCTGCCTCTCCTACCCCTTCTCTGGCAAGTTCTTGCTCTTAAAATACCCCAACAGATACCTGAGCTTCCACTTCTTGGAGGTGGTAGAGAGGAGGCACTCCTCTGGTCAGGAGAATCCTATTCAATGCTCCTTTCGACATTCTTCCAGGTAGGATCAAACTCAAGGGAAAAGGAATTCGTGACGCAAACCATGGTTTGGTCACAGTAAAGTAATTGTCACTCTCAACCCAGAATGTGTGAAGCTAGAAAGAGAAGAACAAAACACTACAAGTATGTTCTTTTATAAAAAGAAAGATCATTCAATCCATATGAAATAGAGGGGTGAGAATAGGGGGTTAGGTGTTAACCACAGCGTGGCACAATTCGATGGGTGGGTGGGATGAAGGAAATTGGAAGGATCTTTTGTGAAAAACAAGGTATGCCAACTTTGTAAATAAATCAGGATAAAATTTCTTAAAAAAGTGTGTATAAAAAGTTATTTTCCAGTTAGAATGATTCAAAGATAAAATGAGATTTTTAAATGTTTTGTTAACTAATGTATCCTACATACTGAATAAACTTTCTGGCATTCAGTAGGTAATAAATATTTGTCAAATGAATGATTTATAGTTCCATCAATTGTATACACAGAGCAGCAAGCTCCATCTCCCACAAGCAAATTTTATTTCCAAAATGGTTATCTTTCTCTTTGTTGTTTCACAAACTAGTTGACTGTCTAAGAGAATCCTATTTCACAGCAATACAAAAGAATCAAGATTAATTAGAATTAAGACTTAAAGAAAATGTCTTTCCTAAAGCTCTTTCATTCTTGTTCATCTAAATAGGCTAAGTGCATTTGCAACTAAGTCACTAGAATATGGTTACACTGAAGACTGCTCACCACTGCAGGAAGAAGCTTCTCTTCCAGGAGAGCGATGTAAGCCAGGGTGTCCGCCCCTTGTTTTGCTGAGAGCTCATAATCAGCATTGTATTTCTATGAAGAACATGAAACCAAAGAACTTCAGAAGTCAGCGAAACTAAACAAAGTGGGTCTCTTGTTTTGTTTACTCCCAAATGCAAAGCATAACATGAAAAGAGGGATGCAAATCCAGTGAAAACTACTAACTGACATAGCACAACATCAAGCATACAGTTAGCTCAATAAATATCAGTGAAGACTTTTTACCAGGTACTACTATTTTCCATGCTTGTTAGTTATTTCGTTCAGTGCATGGCATGCAGTTTAAACTTAATAAAAGGAAGCTACTCTTTTTGTTAATAATAAGGAAAATGTTCCAATTGGTTGCATTTTTTTTCTTATAAAAGCCTTTCAGCTTAGAAAAGTCCTAACTTCTGTAACATAGGAATTCCTTCTTTAAAACAAAAAAATCAGGGGAGCTCTGGTGGCCTAGTGGCAAGGAGCTGCAAATACAATCCCAGAGGTGCACGGTTCAAATCCACCAGATGCTCTGCCGGGGAAGGAGGGACAATCTCCTCCTGTACCAGTCAGATCTGATTTGATGGTACCCTCACACAAAAATTAAAAAATTTTAAAAAAAGAACAAAAAAAAAATCATGGGCAAAACAATAACTTTTGTATTTACATAAACCTTTTCATAGTTAAAAGCTTTTGCTTTATTACTTCATGAAACCTTTCTCTAACTGCAATTACCAGTGGGTAGCTCTGCTGGTTTTGTGGGTAGGGAGTTGCACTGCTAACCCAAAGGTGGCCTCTCTCAGGTAGTTCAGATCCACCAGCAGCTCTGAGGGTTGACAGATGGGCAATCCCCTCCACTGTGATTTACAACCTCTGAAAACCCAATAGAGGGTCAGCTAGGAGTTAGTTCCGACTCAACAGCAATGTGATCCTGAGATGACAACCAGATTAAGAATACTGAATATACCACAGACTGTCAAAAGAGCAAATAAATCTATCCTTGAAGCAGCACAGCCAGAATGCTTCTTAGAAGCAAAGATGGTGAGACTTTGTCTCACATACTTTGGGCACACTGACAGACGGGGCCAATCCCTAGAGAAGGACATCATGCTTGGTCATTGAAAAGAAGAAAGACCTACAAACAAGGCAAATTCACATCTGACTGCAACAATAAGCTTACAGCACAGCAGAGAGAGATTGTGAGGGTGAGAAGAATCAAGCAGTAAGTATTTCATTCTGTCGGCTACAAGGTCACAAAGAGTTGAAGCCAGTTGGACAGTAGTAATATCAATTGAGGAAATGTTTGTTTTTTAAAAAAAAAGTTAATTGAGTGTAACTCAGATAGGACACCCAGCAGAGAATGTGTAGCAACTGTGTAACTGAAGTGACAGGTAACAGTTAAATAGCAAAACTGAATCTGCTTTACATGTAAGCGTCAATCAAATCCAAGTAAAGTGCATAAAAATATAAATGGACTATACCTCACTATATGACCTTCAAATCACAGTAAAACGCATGTTTTAGAGCAGTGATTTCGAAGTCTACTTTTTTTTTCCTATAAAATCCCAGGTCTCTCCAACTGTCTAAAGAGTTGGTCAAAAACAAACAAAGGAAAAAGAAAACAAAAGCAAAGTTTTAATACGTATTCTCAAAAGATTCCTTCAAAAATAACTACCAACCTGTTTCCTCAAAAAGTTTAATATTTTTGCAGGCTGCGAAATAATACTGTCTTCGGTTGTCAAAATTGGCACATCACCTATAATTAGAAAACAATTCACATAAAAGTAGGCATTTACATTTACTCTGAAGACGTTACAAGCCCCTAAAAACTCATTTAAAACACATTTGGCACATGGGGGGGTGGGGGAGTTGGCACTTTTTATTTTTCACAATTTCTGAAAGAGCAGTTCTAGAACACATCTTCACTTCTCATGTTTTCCACACTTGGCTTACATTTTCAGGAGTTACTCAGATTGATCAAACTATAAGCAATACATAGCCAAGGTCAGAGAACAGGAAATCGGAACGCCAAGTGTTCCGTGGCTTTTGGCTCCTGGCTTTAAGTGGAAAAAATTTAAAGAGAATAGAGAAAAGAAGTGTTGAAAATTGTTGACTGTACCTCTGGAACCTCTCCAAGTGTTATCGATAACATGGACTTTCAAGGGTGCACCAGAAAATTTGGCGTAAGCCTGAAATAGAGGTTGTAATAAAACATTTTAGACAGAAGACGCACTGCACAAGGAGAGAGCTGTTTTACTTCCCAGTGCATTCCCTAGAGAAGGCCCCCCCGAGCAGCGCCGACCCCTCAGGGGACCTTCCGCAGGGGTTGCACGCGCCCTCGACGCGGGGACTTCATTCTCCAAGATTCTGGCGATGCGGAACAAGTGCATCCCCAAATTCGGGCTTTACGTCGGCTGCGCAGCTATTTCTGCAAGGCCAACGAAATACAGAGCGGAGCGGCCATGACGCTCCCGCCAGCCCTCGCAGGGTCACCAGCAAGGCTGCGACCCGAGGACGAAAAGGCGCCCAGACCGGTTCGGCGAGGAACACCCCCGGCGACCTCAGCCCTGGGGCGCTGCACGGAACTGCGGGAAGGAGCCCGAGCTGGCCCCAGGGGGCCTCACGCCTCTGGCCCCGCCCTTTCTCCCGGGGCCCAGGTTCGGGCCCACCAGGCGGCCTCACCATTACCACCAGGGACTCGCTGTGCACCGAGGGGAGCCCCCAGTCGCCTCCCCAGCAACTGAGCTCCAAGGGGGCAGCCATGTTGTTGGGCCGACCTTTGCTACCCCGGATGCACTTTTGTAGCCTAATTTCCGGTGGGGGCGGGGCGCGAGAGAAGATGGTTTGTAGTGGGTGATTAAAAGAAATCATTTAGCGTTCAGTCAGACCGATTCATAGCTGACCCTCGAGGAGTATTTCAGGGAGCTCTGGTGCCCTGGTGATGAAAAGCTTTGCTGCAATCTCGAAGGCACGCGGTTGGAATCAAGTAGCTGCTCCGCAGGAGAAAGACAGATAGTCATCTGTGCAATTTACTGCGTCTGAAAACCCCCTGGAGGGTCAGCTCTGAATCTGTTGTAACTTGCGGGCACACAACAACAACAAATGGCATATTGCTCGATTTTGGATTAACAGAGTCATACAGACTACTGTTGCGGAATTTGGAGAAATAACTATTGACAGGATTAACAAGAGCGCTTAGAAGCTGCTAGTCCTTGGTCAGTGTGTTAAGAACCCTGGTCTTGTCTGCTGCAAACATTTCCCAAATACATATACATATATATAACGAAGTTTAAGGTTGTGTTCCCTCAAACAATGAAAGCTCCAAAGAAACATCTACAAATTTTCATGAAATGTCTATAATAAAAAATATTTGAGGGACTACCTTACAGTTCATACCAAACAAACCAAACCTATTGCCATCGAATGAGTTCCGACTCACAGTGACTCTCCATCAGGTTTTAAAGGTTATAAATCTGTATCAAGAATATTGCTCATCTTTCTCTGATTAGTGATGGGTGGATTCCAACTGACAACCTTTCCATTAACAGCCCAACACATAGCCCACCAAACCACTAACTCTCCTTTTCCTATCCATTTGAAACACAATGCCAGCCTACCAAAGTTTGGGGTGATGTTTTCCAACCCACTCCCATCCTGTGTCTCTAAGTTCTCGGAAAATGAAAGGGAAAGAAATATATTAAAGATGGGTAATCCTAATAATTTTAAAAACTCAGAAATACTTAACATGTACCTTTATAACTGTTGTCATTCTTGTTGATAAGGGCTATGAAGTCAACTATGACTCATGTTTTTGTTGTTGTTAGGTGCCACTGAGTTGAGTTCGACTCATCGTGATGATATAAACAACAAATCTGGTCCCTGTCCTATCCAGTGCCATCTTCCTGAAACACTGGAGCCCACTGCGGCAGTCACCCTGTCTGTCAATTCACCTTGTAGAGGGTCTTTCCTTTACCAACCCTCCACCCTTCCAAGCATCATGTCCCTCTCCTTGCAACATGCCAGAAGTATGTGAGGTGAAGCCTCATCATTTTTGCCTCCAAAGAGCACTCCAGTAGCACCCTCTCCAGGATATATTTGTTTGTTCTTTTGGCCAGTACTCTTTTAAATTTTCTTTTTTTTTGTTTTTTTTGTTCAGTGCTCTTTCCCAACACCACAGCTCAAAGGCATCGATTCTTCTTCCGTCATTATTCACTAAGACTCATCATAGCTGTATACACAATGATTCTGAAACTTGTCCTATCATCAACTCTGATATACCTGAGGACATTGATAGGTCACTGTGTGAATCCATCGTTTTGAGGGTCATCCTCTCTTTTTCTGACACTCTACCTTTCCACATTTTTTTTCAAGAATTAACCCCTCCAGTTAAAAGAAGATGGAAGGAGTATACAGAGTAACTGTACCAAAAAGAATTGGCTAACGCAGAAGAATTTCGAGATACAACCTATGATCGAGAGGCAATGTTGATGAAGAAAGAAGTTCAGGCTGCTCTGAAGGACTTGGAGGGGAAAAATAAAGTCCCAGGAATTGATGGAATACCAATTGACATATTTCAACAAGCAGATGCTGCCCTGGATGAGCTCACCAGGTTGTGCCAAGAAATCTGGAAGACAGCTCTCTAGCCAACTGATTGGAAGAGATTAATATTTATTCCCATTGCAAAAAAGGAGCCCCAACAGAGTGTGGAAATTATCGAACAATATGACTCTGAGAAGAATGGAAATCCCAGAACATTTAATTGTGCTAATGCGAAACCTATATTTAGACCAAGAGGCAGTAGTCAGAACAGAGCAGGGTAACACTGCATGGTTCAAAATTGGGAAGGGTGTACGCCAGGGATGCATCCTGTCTCCATACC